TGAAGCTGGACATCGATGCTCTGGATCAGTCTAAGACCCGCTACCCGCGGAACCTGGCGTGCTGCAAGACATTGGCCAACTGTTGGAGGCCGCAAGTGCATATGATCGGAGTCATCGTGTGGGGAGCGAATTGGCGGAAACCAAAAACCCTAAGCACTAAACTCTAAACCTTAAACCATTTAGCAGGGAACAACCCGAAACCCTCGACCCTCAACCTTGCACCGCTTAGCAAGAAAACCCGAAACGATTCACCCTAAAGCTTGAACCATCTGGAAGGGAACAAAACAAACCCGTAAGCCTAAAGCTTAAACCATGTACTAGGGAAGAAAACCCCAAACCCTGAACTCTAAACCTTAAACCAGAAAGAAAGGGCAGAGAACCCCAAACCCTTAGCACGGGGACATGTTCTGGAATTCGGGTTTAGGTTTTGGTTTTCGCCATGATGGCAACTCAGGTTGTTGAATGCTTTTTCGTGACCCAGCCGGACGTGAAGAAGGAGACAGCGAGAGAGAGAGAGAGAGAGAGAGAGAGAGGGAGAGAGAGAGAGCGAGCAAGAGAGAGAGAGAGAGAAAGAGAGAGAGCAAGGACTCTTCAACTGAGATCACATGCGTGCTCCGGGCAATCGACGTGGCCAGTTCCATTTTGGAAAGCAGGGGCCAGCTTCTGCCAGAGCATTTAATCATAGAGGCCTGGCTTATCCCTGAAGTTGTGAGCCTCGCGTGGTTGATGCATTCCGCTTGCTTGTGCCCCTGTGCCAGACGGATAATTGTGCCAGAGAAGGAAAAAATCAAACAATGGCCAAGTTCAGCGCCACGGCCGTCATCCAACACAAGCTCTTTGGCACTAGATTGAATGTTATTGCTTTTGCCGACAAACTAATGTATGGTTGTCTCTGAAAGCAATTGCTCCCAGATTCCGAAGCGTGACACACGTCTTCGGCGAAGTCGGCCATACTCACGGGCCCTTGGACCAACGGCTGGGAGTTGCAGTGTCTGCATTCACAGATGCCGACACGATCCAAACCCCGGAGGCCCACGTCGTCCCCCGTTTTCTTGGTTGAAGGAATCCTTGGTCTGATCTGTGTAGATGCTAGCCTGCAGGACTTCGTCGCCATTGTCAAGGAAAAGGTGCAGCCTGTCAGAAAGCGGCAGCTTCATGCAGAGGTCTTGCCGGGAAGCCTCGACTTCAAGGAGTTTTTCCAGCAGTACGGGCATTCGGTTGCAGGGCTGGTGCCGAATGCACAAGCAAAGGATGATTCGGAAATGAATGTGAATCACTGTTGGAGATTCATTCGCAGATCGGCAGCTTCACTGCGATACAGTTACAAGCAATAGTCTGCACGGGCTGTTGAAAGTAAGCCTTAAGCCGTAATCCAAGTGATATCCGCCTGACAAGCTGAGGATCTTCCGATGTACGACAGTGGCACTGCTGAGTCCTGGACACCAACAGAGATTCCTGGAGCTGCTTAGTGTGCACATTGACAAGTCGTCTTCTGCATAGGTCGATTTCCGCGATTTTGGAACTCTTATCCGCATTCTCAGGGAGGCTACGATGCCCAAGACGGCGATTGCATTCTGTTGGTCAAGCACTTGACCAACAGTGGATCTTTGTCCCAGCCACCTCTGACCATCCTTCCTGCCAGCTTCGCGAAGCGTTTGGAGAAGCCTTTGGAGGTTTTGCCGCGAAATCTTCTTGCAGAGAGGGCGAGGAAAGAGCTGCCCACTCCAAGTTAGTTAGGCATGCGATTGAATTCATGCATTCTTCGTGTCGTGCAAGATTTGTTGTATGTCTATTGCTGCAAGCGAGGTTTCTTCGGACAGCAGAGATTGTCGAGCAGGAGCCGTGGTTCCTTCACGAGGCTGCAAGGGAGCTGCGAAATCTGGTGGAGTCCCGGTAGCACTTGCATATGCACGACCTCGTCGGCCAACCTTGCTATCCGAGGATGCCAATCAGCGGCAAGTCTGGCCGCCTGTGCCCATGCCCGATTGGTGGTTCTCTGCGGCCACACGACCCATCGGCATTGTGCCAAACCCCGAAGGGTGCCTGAACTAAGACAGGAAGCAGGTCTGTAGCATGGTGCAGTCTGGTGCTTTGTTATCAAGAACACAGAAGACCAGGAACAGTAATTGTCAGATCCAAGGTGGGAACGTTTCGCTCCTGGTCCTGTTCGCACTGTCACCGTGAAGCAGGCTGCCAAGGCGGCTGAGGCTCCGAAGCAGGCAGCTCGCAAGCGGAAGGCAGACGACATCTTCAGCGGCGAATCTGCCGGCCAGGGCATTCTTGCCATGCCCCCCGACACAGTCGCCGAGGTTCCGATTGCAGCTGAACAGCCGGGGCCAGCAGAAGGCCCGAAGTGGCCCGAGCGGCCAACGTTCGCAGGCAGGCAGAAGAAAGGCAGCGAGACCCAGCAAGCCAAGTTCGATGAAATGAAGGCCAAGTTCTATGGCAATGTGCCCGAGGAGCTGTGGAAAGATCCCTGTGAGCGACGGTTCTGGAAGGCCTACACGGATGCTGAAGCCAAAGGCCCAGTCCAGGATTCCAGCTTCTTCAGTGAGTTCGTGGATGCGGAGAAATCCAAGAGGCCCGCCAGGGCCGGCAACCGTGGCGGTCGAGGCAGAGGCCTTGGCCGTGGCAAGGCCGCGACCCGTCACTGAGATTGCTTGCCAGTGCTTTACGTTTGGCCGGGGGCAGCCTCCGACATCATTCCGAGAGTCCGGGGACCCTAGAATGCCCGTCCGAGTCTGCAGCTTCTGTGTTCCATTTTGGTCTCCTGCTGTGCAGGGGACGTGACGGGAAAACCCGTTCTTGTCCTGTGATGTGCGGAGGACATGTCAATGTGCTGTCTGTGCGGCAAGAAAGGACTACCACATCTGTCGTGCAATGTGCTGGGTTTTGAGATTCAGCAGCCAGCCTCAGCATGCCATCAGTGGAAGCTTAAGGTCCCGTTGGAGCATCACGGCTTCCACCCGTTTCGATCGAAATCGTCCCATCTTAGATTCGAGGAGCGGTCGCCAGGAGAGGCTGCGTATCGAATTTTCGGTAGAGAGCTTCCGACGGTGCGTGGCCACAGATAAAGAGATCCACCGCTTTCGAACGAAATCGGTGGAAGCTGTATGGTTGATTCGGAGACCCAAGCTTGGACCGGGAAGGGGATTTGCAATGATCATGGTTTTGCACGGCAATTGATTAGGGGCTGGGGAGATCCGACGCTTTCGATCGAAACGCTTCCAGCCGCACCCCAATTCATCGGCCAAGCCAAAACATGTTGCAACAGCGAGGCTCAGCTCCTGGCTTTTTCTGTGGCCGTGATGGCGGCCGAGGTGCAGTCTCTCGCGGCTCCTGCCTCTTGGAGGCACTGACTCGTCCTGTTTATTCTCGTGCAAGAACTGCTTGCAAAGATCCGAAAATGAAATTGAGGCTTCCACGGCAGACGATGACGTGGCTATGTCCGATGCTGGGACTACCGAAGCCTTGCAGAAGTTGACCAAGCCGGCCGACCTGGTCTTTGCCAAGCTCTACGATCTCTTCAAGAGCTCCTTGCTAGAAGATAGAATGCAGCAGTTCGTAGAAACACCAGACTGTGCAACGAAAATTGCAAGGTGCAGGGGGGGTTCGGCAGTATCTGCACCAGCAGTTCCCTCTCCGTGGGAAACGAAGTTCGCAGATTGCGGACATACTGATGAAGGAGATTCCCCTGGATGACTCCGTGGCCTACAAGCACTCCTATCCTTTGCCCGCCTGCCTTCCAGGATATTGTTTCCGAAGTCGTGTTTGTCATGGGCACCTGTTCCCCTAGACAGTAGCCCTTGCTTTCAGGAGCTGAAGACGGGCAGCATGCTTTCGTGCTGCACCCCAGTGTTTTCAGCATGGACAACGAAGCCTCTTTAAGGGAACCGCCCGCCCTTGACACGACAGAGAAGCTCCTCAACAACTTCGCGGTCGACGGGTTTGAGAGCACGGGTGAGCCGGTCCTCGTTCGAATGCAGGATTGTTTGGGGGGGCTGCGTTTTTTGGTCATGTTGGTGCGTGCTCCATTTTGACACATGGCAGGACAGTCGAATGCACGACTCTGGTGACATCCCGGCTGGCAGTGTCTGGTTCTTGAAAGGGGCTGCCAGGGTGACTACGGCCATTGCAGCTGTTGTTGCATGCCACTTCACTGGCGAGCAGGCGGATGTCAATTGAGACACATTGGGCCGGGGGGGTTCTTTTGGAAGTGCGAAGCATGTGCACCTTGTTTTCTGGCGGGCAGGTGCCGGAGGCTCTGAAGAAGAGTCTGGCATGTATGAAATGCAAGCACATCCGCCTGGCCGATCGACAGCAGGAGTTGCCACTGGACTGAATTGGGGTG